GGTAAAAATTTTTTTTTTTCATACTTTTGGGTGTCTTGCACGGATTAATTTGATTTCCATTATTTCTTATGGGGAAAATTAATTCGCATAACGATAATTTCACATAACATCGAATACTTCATATATTTAAAAAAAAAAAAAAACTTGACTCTATGAAAAACTCGGATTAATAGCGTTATGCGGGGGTCCACTGTATATGGAATAGGTAGTAAATTACTAAATGCTGTAAACAGTAAACATTAATGAAATTAAAGATTCAAAGCATGCAACATGACCATTTAATAAGAATAGCCCATCTTTATTATGAAAAGGAAAATGGATTAAAATTCTTTTACAAGTATTTTACCACAACCTGCCTCCCATGACCAGTTAATACATCTTTAATTTTTCTTACCTCTCTCTTGGTGGAGGAGGGGCAGCAGAGCGCCAAGATCCTCCTTCATCAGCACGGGTTGGACCACGGTCCCCCAAACCCTGGGCCCGTCATCAAATCCATGCCCGGCCCCCAAAAACCCGCAAACCCGCACGGTCTAATTAAACGACGCCACCAAAGTCAGGGTCTCCACACTGCCAAAGCCCACGGCCCCTACCCCCCCAAAAAGGTCCCTGTCTCCTCTGGCTACCAAAATCTCTATCAGGGGCCAAAACCTCTCTCTAAACGTTCACCTCTGTTGAAGGCCCCCGGTCACAACGGCCGAAGTCTTTTTTTCCAGAACGTGATGGCCCACGGCGCCAATCCCCCTCCTTTCCCTTTTAAAAAAATAAACAGTATCACACACTTATCATTGTCTGCAATTATTTCAGGATTTTAATTTTAAACAGAAAATTATTGATGAAACTCCCAAACTAAAAAAAAGAGTGTAATGAAGTCATTTTTGGTTTACATTTAAACCCAGGGTATTAAAAAAACCCCTACTTTTGGATAAAAACATTGAATCATTAATAAATGCTTAAAACTGCATTATGTGCATAAACCCTTTTTAAACCCAAGCCCAATTACTACTATATTCATTATATTTTAAAAATTAAATAACTTTACTAATCAAATTTTACTACCAAAACACACCACAAAATTGTTCACTCTTAATCAGCCAAAAAATTTTTTGGGGTTTTGGTTTATTCTTCAAAAATTGGATCTTTTTAAAAAATTTAAATTAATTTGCCTGAAAAAAAACCCTAAAAATTTTTGGTTTTTTAACTTTAAAAGGAAAAATTTTTTTTTTTTTTTTTTTTTTTCAACAAGTGGGCCGTCTCCCCCCGGGGCAGGTGCCCCAAAAAAAAAGAAAGAAAACCCCCAAAAAAAGAAAATACTTTCATCATCATTCAACATTTTTAAACCACACTCGCAAAATTATCACTTTTTTTGCAGAGTGCCCAGAATAAAACCCCACCCCTAGAAGCATAAACATATAAAGATACACAACATAAACCCTCCCCAAACCCGCCAAAACCCCAAAAACCCCCTTTAAAAATGGGAGGGATTGACCCCATTTCCAGGACCAATCCGAAATATATGGGAAAAAAACCCGGGTTTTCCCCCGAAAACCCCTTTACTAAATATTACCCGCTCAAACATCCCAAAAGATCGGGCAGGGCCCCAAATTCCATTCGTCTCCCCTTCACTCCTATCCCAACACGCCCCAACCCCGCTTTCTGGAAGTCCCCCAACCCCTACCCAAAAAAAACCCCCTTTATACCCCCTCTTTCCAACCCTTTTTGAGGACGACCCCTACCCCGCCTTCCCCTTTCCCCCATAGTTTATATGCTTTTTCCCAAATCATTCTAAATGTGATCCATTCTCTTTTAAATGACCAAAAACCCCCTCAAAAACCCCCCTTCTGCCCCCTACAATTTCTTTTAAAAACTCCACACCTTCTCCTAATTTCCCCACTCCCCCAATTTTTTGCATAATATTTTCAAACCCCACTTGCCCTTAAACAAACATCTCCGCGCCCTTTCCAAACCCTTTTCCCCCCCCCTGCTTGCATTTTTCCCCCCCAAAACTTCCCCCACCCATTTTAAGAATGTTTGGGATACTATAAATTTCATACATTCCCTTTTTTTTGCCTCCATAGATAACGTTTTTTTTTACTCCACAATACCTCAACGCACCCCCTTTAAACCTTTTTTTTTTCAACCCAATTTTATGATTAACCTCATCCTTTAAAAATCCATCCCCGACACCCTCAACTCCCAAGTATCTGAAAACATTCCCCTCTTCCATACCCCCTCCTCCCCCAAATTTTATAAACCAATTTTTCTTTATCAAATCATTTGACACCCTCATCACCTTTTCCCCCTTTTTTATGTTCACTTTCAACTTTCTTTACCTTTACACACATTCCCAAACTCTTCCACTAACCTTTGCAATTTTTCTTTAGAATCTCCCATAAGCACAGTATCATCAGCAAAAAGTAACTGTGTCAATTCCCATTTTGAATTTGATTCCCCATAATTTAATCCCACCCCTCTCCCAAACACCCTAGCATTTACTTCCTTTACAACCCATCTATAAATATATTAAACAACCATGGTGACATTACACATCCCTGTCTAAGACCTACTTTACCGGAAGTATCTCCCTCTCTTCTACACACCCAAAACCTGAAGCCTCACTATCCTCATAAAAACTCTTTACAGCATTTAATAACTTACCACCTATTCCATATACTTGCAACATCTGCCACATTGCTCCTCTATCCACTCTATCATATGCCTTTTCTAAATCCATAAATGCAATAAAAACTTCCCTATCTTTATCTAAATACTGTTCACATATATGCTTCAATGTAAACACCTGATCTACACATCCCCTACCCACTCTAAAACCTCCTTGCTCATCCGCAATCCTACATTCTGTCTTACCTCTAATTCTTTCAATTATAACCCTACCGTACACTTTTCCTGGTATACTCAGTAAGCTTATTCCTCTATAATTTTTACAGTCTCTTTTGTCCCCTTTCCCTTTATATAAAGGGACTATACATGCTCTCTGCCAATCCCTAGGTACCTTCCCCTCTTTCATACATTTATTAAACAAAGTACCAACCACTCCAACACTATATCCCCCCCTGCTTTTAACATTTCTGTCATGATCCCATCAGTTCCAGCTGCTTTACCCCCTTTCATTTTACTAATGCCTCACGTACCTCCCCCACACTACATTCTGCTCTTCTTCACTCCTAAAAGATGGTATACCTCCCTGACCAGTGCATGAAATTACTGCCTCTGTTTCATCCTTAACATTTAAAAGTTCCTCAAAATATTCTCGCCATCTTCCCAATACCTCCATCTCCCCATCTACTAACTCCCCTACTCTGTTTTTAACTGACAAATCCATATTTTTTTTTCCCCAGGCTTTCTTAACTTGTTTAACTCACTCCCAAAATTTTTCTTATTTTCATTAAAATTTCTTGACAGTGCCTCTCCACTCTATCATCTGCTCCTTTTGCACTCTCCACCACTCTCTTTACCTTTCTTTTACTCTCCATATACTCTGCTCTTCTTATACACTTCTGCTTTGTAAAAACCTCTCATAAGCTACCTTTTTCTCTTTTATCACACATCCCTTACTTCATCATTCCACCAATCAACTCCTCTTTCCTCCTGCCCCCACCCTCCTATAACCACAAACTTCTGCCCACATTCTAATAACTGCATTTTTAAAACTATTCAACCCTCTTCAACCCCCCCACTACTCATCTTTGCACTAGCCCCACCTTTCTGCCAATAGTCGCTTATATCTCACCCGAACTTCCTCCTCCCTTAGTTTTATACACTTTCACCTCCCTCTTACTTGTTGTTGCCACCTTCCTCTTTTCCCCATCTACCTCTTACTCTAACTGTAGCTACAACTAAATAATGATCCATATATCAGTTGCCCCTCTATAAACATGTACATCCTGGAGCCTACCCAATCAACCTTTTATCCACCAATACATAATCAAATAAACTACTTTCATTACGTGCTAACAATCATACCTTGTATATTTATTATCCTCTTTTCATAAAATATGTATTACTATTACCAAAATATTCTTCTACACATAACTCAATAAAGGCTCCCCATTACATTTTACCCCTGGCACCCCAAATTTATCCTACTACTTCTCCCATAACATTTTAACCCACTTTACATAAAATCCCAACCAACCATTACTCTCCACTTGATTCAAACTCCCCACCATTCACTCAACATTTCCCAAAATCTCTCTCTCTCCCTACACTTCTCTTCTCTCCAGTGCATCACACGCTTATTATAAACCCACTTTTCACATCAATCTTTATTTTACTCCACATAATCCTTGAATTAATACATTTATAAGTCCCTCTTTTCCTGCCATAGCTTATCCTTCAACATATTCTACTCCTCTTTAGCTCTAACTCTATTTGAAACCCGTGAACCTAATCCCATTTATTCCTCTCCACTGAAACTCTCCTACCCCCTTCAGCTTTGTTTCACTTAAAGCCAGGACATCCACTTCTTCTCATTCATAACATCCACAATCATCTCTTTCTTATCATCTGAAACAACATCCCGCACATTCAGAAACTTCCCACTTTGAAAATTTTTTCTTTTTCTTATTCTTTTTTAGTAATCTTTACAGGAAAAGGGGTTACTAGCCCATTGTTTCCCCGGCATTTTAGTTGACTTTTACAACACGCATGGCTTACGGAGGAAAGATTCTTATTCCACTTCCCCATGGATATAAAAGGAAAATTAATAAGACCAAGAACTATTAAGATAAAATCAAAGAAAACTCAGATGAGTGTGTATAAATAAATGTGTACATGTATGTGTAGTGTGACCTAAGTGTAAGTAGAAGTAGCAAGACATGCCTGTAATCTTGCATATTTATGAGACAGACAAAAGACATCAGCAATCCTACCATCATGTAAAACAATCACAGGCTTCGTTTTACACTCACTTGGCAGGACGGTAGTACCTCCCTGGGTGGTTGCTGTCTACCAACCTACTACCTATACTTATAGGAATATTATATGAAAAATAAAAGTTCTTTACCTATCATCTCTGCTTCCAAAAGTGCCTCTTTCATCTCTGCTGCCAAACCGATCATCTCTCTCTCTACTAAATCCACCACGATCTTCACGGTCTCTGCCAAATCGATCATCTCTATCCCTTCCAAAGCCACGCTCTTCTCTCTCTCTGCCCAAACCACCACCACGTTCTTCCCTGTCTCTGCCAAAACCAACCCTGTCTTCACGATCACGACGCAAATCTTTTGGAGGTTCATCTCTCCTGATATCACGATTTCCTCTGTCCCTGGGTGGTGGTGGTGGCTCATCTTGTCTGATATCACGATTCCCACGGTCTCTAGGTTCCGGTACCGGCTCTCGATCAGCATCGTCATCTTTGCGGCGCCATACATCCAACTTTTCACGTTCCTTCTCTCGCCAGCCACCTGAAATATTTAGAAGACAGATAATTTTTCTGTAAATAAAGATGACTTTCTATTAACAATGTAAGCCTGAAGAATTATGATTTAATTACAGCTTACCAAAAGCTGTAGCTTAGGAACTGTCAGAGAGAGAAGGTTCCTTCTTCACCTATATTTCACACTTGTGCATCTTTGGGTAATCTAGAATAGTTTATTACCAATACTGTTAAACAAGCAATAAAAAAATGAGGGGAAAATATCCCATGAATCGCAGTAACATCAAGTACAGTATATTATATAAATCTGACATGACTAACCTATTCTGAAGATCAATAATAAATCCTCTCTGAAAGACATGCTCCAACAATTAAATGAAGCTCTAGCCAGGTTTCTCAAACAGGGGCCACAGCCCATGGGGAGGCTTGCTCGGGCAAACAAGCAAGGCCCTATGGGTATTTTGGAAAACCCAAATACAGAAACTTTGCTCAGAACGCAAATTCATTTTTTTTCTACTCCAACTGCATTAACCTTATCTTAGATTCAGGGGTGTGAAAGAAATTGAATTAATTTTTTTTATGAATTAGGATTTGGATTAAATAATAATTAAAGATAAAAATTTTTTTCTCCAAAGTGGTAAGAATGTATATCGTTTAGTTTAAGGGATATGAAAGTTTTTAAGTTGTTTACAAGAAAAGCGGCGGGATGCACAAAGTAAAATACTTAGAAAACCTAAAATTTTTTTTGAAGGGTAAGATATATATGCAATTTTTTGGGATGGGGGGGGGGGGGGTAACCTTAGATTGACCATTTTTCCATCCCCTCTGTCATCCTACCCCTACTATGTCTTACCCTTAGCCCTTTCATAACAATTCTACTGTACACTTTCTGCTATACTTAACAGGGTTTTTTCCCCTAAACCTCTTAATCTCCATCCTCCTTTCCTTTATTTTTATTATTTTTATTATCACACTGGGCCCTTCCACCAAGGCAGGGGGGCCCCCAAAAAAAAAACTTTTACCTCATTCACTCCACACTGTCTTCAAAAAGGTGCTTTACACTACAGTTTTAAAATGCAACATTAAACACCCCCCTTCAAGTCGGCACTGTACTTTCCCCTCTCCGGGCTCAAGTCCGGCCTGCCGTTTTCCCTGAACCCCTTCATATATTTCTTTGCTCACACTCCAACAGCACGTCAAGTATTAAAAACCCTTTTTCCCATTCCACTCCTATCAAACACGCTCACCGCAGCCGCTGGAATCCAAGCCCCTCGCACACAAAAACCCCCTTTACCCCCCCCTCCAACCTTTTCCTAGGGAACCCCTACCCCGCCTTCCTTCCACTACAGACCATACAACCTTTTAAAAACATGCTGTTTCGCTCCATTCTCTCTACATGTCCGAACCACCCCAACAACCCCTTTCCCCACCCTCGGACAACAGTTTTTGGGAAACCCGCACCTCCTCCTAACTTCCAAAAACGAAATTTTCTGCATTATATTCCACCACACATTCTCCAGACAGCATCTCCACTGCCTCCACCTTCTCCTCGCGCAACTTCATCACCCATGTTTTTACACCCAATAAAAGCCCTTGAAAACTATACTCTCAACATTCCCCCCTTTGCCCCCATGGACAAAGTCTTTGTCTCCACAGACTCCTAAGGCACCACTCACCCCTTTTCCCCCCCCATCAATTTTATGATTCACCTCACTTTTATAACCCTCCCTGACACGTCCACTCCCAAATATCTGAAACATTCACCCCTCCATACTCTCTCCTCCAATCTGACATCCACTTTCTCACCTAATCTTTTTGTTTTCCTCATAACCTTACTCTTTCCCGTATTCATTTCAATTTTCTTCTTTTTCACACCCCACCAAATTCATCCACCAACCCTGCAACTTCTCTTCAGAATCTCCCAAAGCACAGTGTCTCAGCAAAGAGCAACTGTGACAATCCCACTTTACGTGTGATTCTTTATCTTTTAACCCCACCCTCTGCCAAGACCCTCGCATTTTCTTCTCTTACAATCCCCTCTATAAATATATTAAACAAACCCCGGGGAATCACACACCTTGTCTAAGCCTATTTTTACTGGGAAAATTTCCCCTTCCACATACTCTAACTTGACCTCACTATCCCGTAAAAACTCTTTACTGCTTTTTGTAAACCACCTCCCACACCATACACCTCAACACTGCCACATTGCCCCCTACCACCCGTCAAAAACGCCTTTTCCAAACCTAAATGCCACAAAGACCTCTTTGCCTTATCTAAATACTGTTCACTTAATGTTTAAACTTAAACACCGGTCCACACCCCCCTCCCTTTTCCTAAAGCCCCCTTGTTATCTGTATCCTATTCCCCCTCTTCCTCTTAATTCTTTAAATAATAACTCTACCATCATTTTAAACCAGGTATCTCAACAGACTTATCCCCCCTATAATTTTTGCCTTCTTTATCCCCTTTGCCTTTTAAAAAGGAAAAACTATGATGCTCTCTGCCAATCCCTAGGTACCTTACCCTTTCCATACATTTATTAAATAATTGCCCCCAACCACCCCAAATCAAACCCCACCTTTTTTTAAAATTTTCTATCTTTATCCCATCAACCCCGGCGCCTTCCCCCTTTTATTTTCCCCTACTGCCTCACGAACTTCCCCCCCACCCAACTGGCTCTCCTCACCCCTACAAGAGTTGTTCCTCCTTCCCCTATACACAAAACACAGTTCCCCTATCTTCATCAACATTTACAATTCCTCAAAATTTTCCCCTCCATTTTCCCAAAAAATCTAACTCTCCATTTAATAACTCCCTCTCCTTTTTTTAAAATGACAAATCCTTTGTTCAAGGCTTTCTTAACTTGTTAATCTCACTCCAAAACTTTTTTTTTCAAAAAAATTTGTTGATAACACTCACCCACTCTCTATTTGCTCTTTTTTTCTTTGCTTCATACAATGTCCTTTATAAAAGACTTATGCATCCCTCTCCCAACCCTTTATTTTTTTTTTTTTTTTTTTCAACAAGTGGGCCGTCTCCCACCGGGGCAGGGTCCCCAAAAAAGAAAGAAAATCCCAAAAAAGAAAATAATTTAAATCATTCAACACTTTCACCACACCGCACTTATCACTTTTTTTTGAAAAGTGCTCAAAATACAACAGCTAGAACATACACATAAAAAAGATACACAAAAACCCCTAAACCCCAAATTCCCCAAACCCCCCCTTCAAAGTGCGGGGCACTTACCTTTCCCCTTTTTTTTCATGCATATAATGAAAAAAATGCAGTACTATACTTACACCCCATCTTTTTTAACACACTTCCCCCATTGCTTTACCCCCATTCATTTTCCCCATTGCGAACCTACCTTCCTCAATTCCCCCTCATTGTCCTCTTCTTTTTTATATATCTCCTTGTCCCCAAGCATAAAATCACAGCCCCCCCTCATCACTAAAATTTAATCTATAAAAATTCCCCTTTTTATACTTCAGAACCTTTCACCTCCAATATAACTAACACTATCCATTTCAAACATTGCAAAAAAACTTTCATAACACACAAAAAACAAACATCACACACAAATAAAAAAACAGGCAAAGAAATACACACAAACAACACACAAAACAGGTCCCCTCAAATTCATGAGGGTTAAGGATCACGGCCTGCAAATGTTGAAAAATTTATTTTGGTGCTCCAATATATCCATACCCAACACAAAACCAAAAAAGTATCCAAAAGGGTTGGGACCCTCTCCAAATCGATACTACGTCCCAAAAAAATCCCTTTCACACATACCATTTATTTATCCATCCCTCACCTATGTTTTTGTGTTTGGGGGATCAACTGCAAACACACCTAAAGCCAATAAAAACCCAACAAAAAGCCGCAGTAAAAATAATCACTAAACCCCATCCCTGGCAACACCCCCCCCCCCACTCTTCATAGATCTAAATTCCTCCCTGTTCATACATCCCACTTACTACTGTGCAATCTACATCACAGGACCTTAAAATTTCCCAAAATTTTAACCTTGACCTAAAATGTTTTCTTGATAGTTGTGACAGAACCCACAGGAAACACCAGAACAAATTCTTATACATTCCCATGCCCAAACTAAACTTTACAAAAATTAATGTATGTCAAAGGCCCCTAAAATCGGACCCCTCCCTGAAAACTTAGGCTGCAGACACATTCATCACCTCCAAAACTACCTTAAAAACATCTTTTTCCCTGTTCCCCCTCAACAATTACCGAATACCACCTGGGGGTTTCACACTTACACTCCTCCCCATTTACAAAACGAAATATCAATCTCAATCATAAAATAAGAATCCCAACGTCAAATTTTGGCCCTTGTACTCCAATACTAAAACATGTTTTGTGCCAAAAAAAAAGCATTCACTTGCTAAATCACAAACTGTATTTAGTCACTTACCATAATACCAACTTCCTCAAAATTTTGTAATATTTTAAAAGTTAAGAATATTCTAGTCTGCCAAAAAACCCTGCCATGCTAGGTTTTAGTGGCACCCCTTAATTTTTTACTACATTTTAAACCACACAATAACCAAATTCTGTAAACCAGCTTTGTAATCCTTATAGAGAATAAACTTTGTTTTTAATTTAAGGGAAATATAAAAATTTTACTGCTTCCTTAATTGTTGAACCATAACAATCATAAAATACATGAAAAACATAAAAATTTTGTACTAATACATACTGTTATGGTTTAATAACATGTATGTTTATTAATCCTAAACAATCCAAACGTATACAATATATTCACTCCCCAGTGCCCCAAATATTTTGAAAATAAAAAATTTTTTTTTTATTATAAATAAAGAGCACATTTTTCTAAGTGTTATAGGATAAAAAAAAAATTAAGGGCAGTACTTACGGATATGAGGGCCCAGAATTGGCACAAATGCTCACTTGATGGGACCCCCCCAGTCCTGTCCCCTCGCAGAAGTGTTGCTGATATACCTTTTTTTCTTTTTTTATACTATTTTGTATAATTTTTATGTT